TTTAAAAAATTATTCAAATTGCCAGATTCCAGGTTCTGATTATTAGATAGGGGAAAAGAATCAAAGTTCTCAAAATTATAAATGTGTAGAGTAACTCAAGGATGACTACATGGACAACTAGATAGCTCAAAGTTTTTCACTCTAGTCACTTTCTCCACTAAATCACAATAGCACAGGTTGGAACACTTGAGACATGTGGTATATGCAACTTTACCTTTGCTCATAAGAGAAATTTTAGGTGCCAAAATAGAGCCCACATCATGGCAATATGTTGACCATATAAATTAGGTGTTTACTCCTAGGTTCCAGAAAAGCCATTAGTATTTCCTACATAAGTAAACATTAAAAACATTTACAAGACTATTTTTATTATAACACTAGAGGCCCGATGCACAAATTCTTACACCGGGGGGAGGGGGGGTCCCTCGGCCTGGCCTGTAGGATGGGGCCAAAACCAGCTCTCCAACATCCCCCGAGGGATCTTGGATTGTGAGAGGTTGCAGGCCAGGCCAAGGGACCCCACCGGTGCACGATTGGGGCAGGGGAGGGACACGGAAGGTTGGCCAGCCCTGGAGGGACCGAGGGAGGACTCCAGGGTGTGTCCGGCCCATCTCACTTAGTCCTGATCAGCCAGACCCCAGCAGCAAGCTAACCTACCAGTCAGAGCATCTGCCCCCTGGTGGTCAGTGCACATCACAAGGAAATGTTGAGTGGCCTTAGCACATCATTAGCATATTATGCTCTGATTGGTTGAATGAACGACCAGATGACTGGACACTTAGCATATTTGGCCTTTATTATATAGGATAATATAAAAAGTACTAATGTAACTTCCATATCTACGGATTTGGGGGTACCTTAGCTTATTGTTATTGAAAATTACTTTTCAGCAACCAAATGGAATAAAATTAAATTATTTTAGGTATTTTCCAGTTATCTTCACAAAAGAATTTCTCTATATTGCATGATTTAGCATATGTCATGTGTCAAGTTTTTTTTTTAATTTCTCAATTTTATTAGTTGGGTATAATCATATATATGACCTTCCCATTCCTCCATTTCCTGCCTTAAAAATACATAGCAGGAAAAAGTGACTATAAAAGAAGGCATCTTTGGATGCTAAAGAAAGAAGATTTGGAAGTGTTTCTATAAGCCCGGGGGATTAAACTTTCCCTTGTAGGCATGGCAAGACATAGCATTAGCAACATAACAAACCTTATTTGTTAGGTCAGAAAATTGCAAAAAGTACTCTAAAAAGTTTAGGGAAAATATGGAATCATTATTTTCAAGTTTGATAAGCACTCAACCCATCAAAATTCACAAGAAGTTGTGAACTGCTTCCAACTGCTACCTCATTAACCACCCTGATCACATTCAATAGCCTGATCTCTGTAAGACACATGGGAGAGGAAAAGATCAGCAATAATCCTGTACAGCAACCAACCTCTCTCCCAAGACTTTGGACTTCCACTAAAGGCCCCTCCTTTCTTCTGCCCAGAAAATGGAACTAAATCATATTAGGGTCATATCAATATCCCGCAGGCTTTTGTAGCTACTAAAAGGGACTCTGCTTCCCTGTCTCACTCTTGCCATCTCTAGGGCGAGATGAGGAACCGAGAATTAGCATCTATTGCTTAGGTCTCCACCTTATTAAAAAACAAGTGATATCTTCCCAACTTTTTTAGAATATAAATACTCTTAAAGGATATTTGTATTAAGCTAACTTATCAGAATTAAATATCCTTGTCTTCCATAATTAATTTATGCAATAACTCTTCTCAATTTCCCTCATTAATGCTGGAAGCACAAAGGCATGCATTCTCACTCTTGGCTCTTCCTTTCCCTAGACCTAACGTCGACTACAATTTTCTCCCCTTCCATGCCTGTTCCCTTTCTCTATGGGAGTGTTATCCTTAACATGTTGTAACTGATGAAACCACATGGCATGTTTTCCAAAGGGGCTTCACCACTCTACATTCCTACCAGCCATATGTGAGGGTCCCAATTTTTCCACATCCTTGTCAACACTCGTTATTGTCTTTTTTATTATTATAGCCATCCTAGTGGGTGACGTCTCAAATAATGTTCGTTAAGGCCTTTATGTTACACATTGAGTTCATTCAACCTAAGGAAACTGACATATGAACTAATTCCAAAGCCAGTTTTCATTCCTAAATCAATCAGCCATGTATACTTTCTCCAACAATAAAATCTCTCACTCATTCTCAATTCAAAGCGACATCTTCATCCTCATGAAAACCGTTCCACCCTTCAGCTCAACTTGTGAGTTACACAGGGAGTAAAACAAAGCGGGGAGAAGATAGTAGAAAGTAAGGCCCTCCTCCTAACTTTGCAGCCTGAAAACATGTCCCATCATCTTGGGTGTTTCACTGATTCTCTGTTATGATCTTACGGGATTTTCCTGAAGAAGCCACCAAGAGCCTCTCACAAAAGTCTGAGACTGTAGAAAACAAGGAAGTGAAAATATATTATTTTTCCACCCTCCTACAGCATACATAAAGCTAAGGGCTAACACAAGCTATGCTGTCAACATAAATATTTCTCAAGACAGAGAAAAAACAGAACCATACTATATTGCCTTGAGTAAACACGGTTTCACACACCCATTATTTCAAAATTTTCCTTTCAGTTGGGTCCTGTATATGTTTTTACACTCAATGTAATTAGGACTTAACACTGGTGAGGGTTATGCTTTTCTTTTTCTTTTCATTTTTAATAAGTGCAATTATCAAAAGGAATATGGAAAAAAAGAAAATCAGCGGGAAGCTTGGACTTCAAAACCTTTTTTATCCCAAGATTTCTCCGCCTTCTCAACTGTCACCCAAGCCAGGTCCTGTCTCGCCCTCAGCGAGGACTATTTGGCTGTTGGAATCAGCGCTAAGCAACGTGCTCTAAATCCAGATTGACAGGACCATTGACCAATCACAGAACGAGGTTTCCTTTCCCCGGTCTAATCATGGCCGTTGCCTGGGAGACACAGTACTGAGCCGATAGGGGCGGGTCAAGCAGCGGGGCGTTAGAAACACCACCAACCCAGCCTCCGGCAGCATAAAGGGGTTCTTCAGCTTTGTAGTTGTATTGCCAAGATGTCTCTTTCTAAGAAGTTAACTTTGGACAAACTGGATGTGAAAGGCAAACGAGTCGTGATGAGAGTAGACTTCAATGTTCCCATGAAGAACAACCAGATTACCAACAACCAGCGAATCAAGGCTTCAATCCCAAGCATCAAGTTCTGCCTGGATCATGGCGCCAAGTCAGTAGTTCTTATGAGTCACCTAGGTCGACCCGATGGCGTGCCCATGCCTGATAAATACTCCCTGGAGCCTGTTGCTGCTGAACTGAAATCCTTGCTGGGTAAGGATGTCCTGTTCCTGAAGGACTGTGTGGGGCCAGAAGTGGAGAAAGCCTGTGCAAACCCAGCCGCTGGTTCAGTCATCTTGCTGGAGAATTTACGCTTCCATGTGGAGGAAGAGGGGAAGGGCCAAGATCCTGCAGGAAATAAGCTTAAAGCTGAGCCACAGAAAATAGAAGCCTTCCGTCAATCGCTCTCAAAGCTAGGGGATGTTTATGTCAATGATGCCTTTGGCACTGCTCACCGGGCCCACAGTTCCATGGTGGGAGTGAATCTGCCCCAGAAGGCGTCTGGATTCCTGATGAAGAAGGAACTGGAATACTTTGCCAAAGCCTTGGAAAACCCAGAGAGACCCTTCCTGGCTATACTTGGTGGAGCCAAAGTAGCAGACAAGATCCAACTTATCAAAAATATGCTGGACAAGGTCTGTCATATGATTATTGGTGGTGGAATGGCGTATACTTTCCTTAAGGTACTCAACAACATGGAGATTGGTGCTTCCTTGTTTGATGAAGAGGGAGCCAAGATTGTCCAAGATATCATGGACAAAGCCCAGAAGAATGGTGTGACCATCACCTTTCCCGTTGACTTTGTTACTGCTGACAAGTTTGAAGAGAATGCTCATGTTGGTCAAGCCACTGTAGCATCAGGCATCCCTGCTGGCTGGATGGGTTTGGACTGTGGCCCTGAGACCAACAAGAAGTTTGCTCAAGTTGTGGGCCAAGCCAAGCTAATTGTGTGGAATGGACCTGTAGGGGTATTTGAATGGGATGCCTTTGCTAAGGGAACCAAAGCCCTCATGGATGAAGTTGTGAAAGCCACTTCCAGGGGCTGTATCACCATTATAGGAGGTGGAGACACCGCCACTTGCTGCGCCAAATGGAACACCGAAGATAAAGTCAGCCACCTGAGCACTGGAGGAGGAGCCAGTCTAGAGCTTCTGGAAGGTAAAGTCCTTCCTGGAGTGGATGCCCTCAGCAACCTGTAGCTGACAAAGTATTCCTTCCTACTGTTTCCTGCCCCACAGCCTTTGACAAAGTAGTGCTCTTACACCTCAACTTGACTTTTGTTAAAATCTACCCCTGTATCAAGATCCAGGCAAATGACCAAGCGATGAGCTATCAGGAACTCTTAACATCAGCACAGAAATGCGGTCCAACTTTAGTTCTGCCATGCATTTACCTACCCTCTTAAAGATTTCATTTGAGATCTCAAAGATCACCATTGTGATTCATAGGAAGTGGGTTCCCTATTAAAGCAAGTTAAATAAGCTGAATCTCTCTTCCCTTTTATTTTAGCCTAGCTCTGTCATTTGTCACTATTAGAAACATGGGCACAAGATACAATCTTAATTGCTGAGGAAGGGTGGGGGCAGAAGCTGACAGACTATTAAACAATAAAAGTGCCCAAATAAACAGAGAAAGAAAATTACATTTAAGAACTCATGAGTGCGTTCTTAGGATCTCCTAAGAGGAAATGTCTTACTAAATAAGGAAAATAATAAATAAAGCACTCATATTAAACCCATGAAGTTAAAAAGAAGACATTGAGCCTAAAGAAGGTATGTCTGTGCGTATGGATGCACTGGGGTGTACACACATATTTATTAGAATGAAAGTTATAAATCATACCCTGGTTTCAAATAGAGAATTGTTTTCTTTTTAAAGCAGATGTTGTTTAAAAAATAGATAATATAACTGCTAAATCTGAACACTGGGATTTTTGAAATGCATAAGAAATATGTATAAAGATAGTTTAGCCATGGGGAAAATAGAGGTAT